AGTTAAACCCAGTTCAATAACATGTGAAAAAGCTCAGAATTTCCTGCAAAATGCCTTTATAATAGAAAGTAAAAGTGCTGTTATCTTTAAGGCCAGTGATTCACAGACCTTAGATCCCCAGATTTTTTTAGACTGCTACTGCCACTACCAGAAAACCCAGCCAACATAGCCAATGGCCAGGGATTATGGGAGTTGCAGTCCAATATTTGGGAACCAAAGACTGATGTAGGCACCTATTTTGTGGTTTAGCTGTTGTATTTTATATAATGTCAACCCATGTGTAGGTAATTTGAGAGGTGGTTTTTCTCCCCAGGTGTCTGATTAAGGACTTTGAAAAACGTCCCTCTGTCACTCATCTTTTAGAACATCCCTTCATAAGACAAGCCCATGGTAAAGACATGGCACTCCAGAAACAGCTGGCTGATCTCATTCAAGCTCAACAACAATTAGGTTCAGTAGCCAAGACAAGGTACTGTAAAAATTCCTATTACCTTCTCCAGGTTAATGAGGGTCAACTGAAACGTGAAGGTTTATATGCTTTTCCTGTGATTTTTTCCTTCCACAGTGGGATTTCCTCAGAGATCAATTGAGCAATTGAACCTACAAATTAAATTTTTGCTCTTCCAAAGTCCCACTACAAAACAAAGCAAACTAAATGTAAGCTATATAGGTGAGAAAATTCACACATTCAGGCAAACACATCTTTTACCAAGGCCCCATACACACTTGTGTTTTGTGCTGGGTAGATCTGGGCAGATTCCTTGATGGAATATCGAATCTAACTCAAATAGAAGTTCATGCTATGTTTACCCCGATCAAATCTCGCAGGTGCAATTTAACCCTGTTAAGTTGACACTGACCAAAGTACTGATTAAAAATGAAGCCTCCTTATTGATCGCATTTAATCATTTTCAAGGTTTTTTTTGTTCTGTCAATCAAGTGATGCACATCTATGTCACACTGTTTGGGAGAGAGAAAAAAACATCTTCGGAGGATGGGGAGGACAAGCCTTTTGGAGGATCCCTTGCCATGAGCCCCCCATGAGAGCTTCTCCTTGGGGTGATCCCCCCTGCCAGCCTCAGACTAGAGAATAAAATCACCATGCATTGAAGCCATGAAAACACAAAGGTTCACACTTTCTCTCAAATAAATAATAATAATAAAAAACCAAACACCCTCCTTTGCCAGCTTGGGTAACGTCTGAACATAGGCTATGGCATTGTCAGGGGGAGGGAGAAGCAGAAAAGGGGAAACCAGCTGAACGGTTGTTGAAAGGACCTGGCAGTGGGAAATTTGAAATCATCAGAGCCAGCAACTAGGCATGAGCAAAAAAAGTGGAGCTTGCCATGCACTCTGACCTGTGAGAGGGGATATGCATGTTCCACCCCTCTGCCCACCCTCTGGCTATTAATCCCTCCCTTCAGGAAGACTCGAATAGGATTGGGGGCAAGTTCACATTGGCAGCACCCTGACAAAACCCGCCCCCCCCCCCCAAAGCCACTGGGGAAAACTCGATATCAGAAAACCTGCAATGAGGGGGATTTGCCCCGGGTCCACCCCTGTTTGGGTGTGCAAAACCTGGTGCCAGTGTGAACTACCCATTTGCAAACCGGTTTATAACATAGTGTGAACGGCCTCTAACTGAATGAGCACCTTTGCAAAAAATGTTGTAAATGTACCATCCAATTTGACTTTGAGATTCAGAAATATACAGATGTCATATACAATAATAGATGTCTCCGCTTGCCACAGTCTGGCATGAAGGATCTGTGCACAAAGTTGAGGTATATGGAGATCTACATTTTGAGGTATACTTCCACATCATGATTTTTATCCTTGTTACACTGAAGTTAGAACAATATTGGAAAACTGTTTGGCCCTGCAGGTGTTGTTGAACTGCAACTCCTACTGAAGAGGGATAATGGGAACTGTTGTTTAACAGCATCTGGAGGATCACACATCCCGTCTCCTGGGCTAGAGATATCTTGATGGACACGGGATGCATCTTACCATCTGAAGTTATCTATTATTATGCATGTGTGGCTGCCCATAGCTAGATCTGACTGCTCTAGTTATTACAGATCCTTATTCACAGTCTTTGCTACATCCCATATAAAGGGAGAGCTTCAAGACAGGGAGAAATAACATTCTCAGTCTTGCCTTTTAAATGCATTCAGCCATAACAGAAGCTTTGTATTTTGGTAATTTCCTGGATTTATTGCTAATACCAGCAACTGCACGTATTTGTTCATAATCAGCAAGTGAATTTTTAACAGGAAAGATGTTCCCTTTTTGTGATGTGGGTAAAAGAGTATTATTCCTAAAATGTGAGTAATGTGCCATCAATTGTTGTTGTTGTTGTTGTGTGTCTTCAAGTCGTTTCTGACTTACGGTGACCCTAAGGTGAATCTATCACAGGGTTTTCTTGGCAGTTTCTTCAGTGGGGTTTGCCATTGCCACTCTCTGAGGCTGAGAGAGTGTGACTTGCTCAAGGTCACCCAATGGGTTTCATGGCTGAGCTGGAATTTGAACCCTGGTCTCTGGAGTAATAGTTCAACACTTAAACCACTATGCCATGCTGGCTATAAACACTAATGGCATATTAAGAGGACAAAACATTAAGGGCATTACAGTTTGGTTAGCCACTGCTTGCAAAGCTGAATTTGATTGCTTAGTCTACGACTTAATATTACCAGTCTTTCTTTGTATAAGGGTTGGTACTTAAATATTTGCCAGGAGAGCCTTGTTTTCCCATACAGTCTGGAGGCCAGCTGTAACAGACATCTTTTGGTTTCATGGTTGTCCAGAGGGTGGCAGGATTTCACTGTTTTCAAAGTGAATTTAAATGCAAATGAACACACTTCTTCTGCTCAACAATCATTCTGTAATATGAAATTTGTCTAGTGCCAGATAAGCTGTAAACCATTATTGTAAATAAATACCTACTAATGTTGATGAAGAAAATTAAATGCCATGATTTAAAAGTCATAAAAATGTTTGCGCTTGCCCAGACACAGTTAATGGCTATTTGAAAAGCAAAAGCCTCTAAGTAAAACTTTAAAAAGAAAGTAATGAATGCATGTTCAAGGTAAGGTTGACTTTCTTGATGTCAGTGCAAGGAAAATTATTCTGCACACCTTTCTAAAGTAAGAGTTCAAGTGGTTATACATACTTCACAGAGCCAATATTTTCTGCTCATCTTTAGAAATACTTTTTCTTCAGCTTGCCATGTATATATTCTTTCCCTCTTGACAGCTGCTATTTGCAGATAGTTTTAAAAAGTAGCCATGTATATGAGAATCTGGGAGAAACATCAAATGACCACATTGCTATTCAAGCCACTATGTGAAAAACTTGGTTGTGTGAACCTACACTCAGACCCAGAAAATAATAATCTCTGAATATACTGTCAACACTTTTTTCATGAACCTCTTCTTCAGTATATGGATCCCAGAAACCCCATTTGCTCTTTATAAGAAAAACTCTATAAACCTTATAAGAGTGCAAAGTTACAGTGCTATTGCACAAAATTGTTCATTAATCAGCACCTGAATTTTTAACAGGGAAGATGTTCTGCCATGGCAACATCCTATGGAATCCTGGTACTTGAAGTTTAAGGAGGGGCATTTAAAATTCTGGTCCAGAAAGCTCCTATGTTGCCTCTGACCAAATTACAAGGCCCAAGATACCATAGATTATGGCCATGTCAGCTAAAGTGGAATCATGGCAATATAATTGCTTAATGTGAATGAGCCCCTGTTCTGTACATATAGCCAAGTTAGGGTGAAGCCTGAATTAACAGAGTGGCCTGAATCATTTAAAGCTGCAAAATATCATTTTAGTTTATTCTTCTTTAACAAAATTTACATAACTGAACTCTATAACTAAGACATCCAAGGGAAATTTTTTTAACCCAGCTCATTCCTCTGGGGTTTGCAGAAGGCTTTTCCTATGTGGGAGGATGAAAAAATGTGTTTCCCCCCATCCTTAATATGATTATTGTACTACTTCAAAACTTTGCGTTTTATGGCCATCTCAGTTCTGCCACATGTGTAGACCAGCCCAAATAATATTTTTTAAAAGAAGGTTTTCACAACTGCTGCCAGTGTGGAATGGCTGCCATCTTTCATTTCAAATAAATAACAATTTGTAAGAAGATATTTCTAGTGACATTCTAATCTTCACTGTGGAAATAATGCAATTGATGCTGCCTTAACTGCCATGCCTCAGTGCTGTGAGACTCTGGGATTTGTAGTTTTGTGAGATATTTAGCCTTCTGTGCCAGAAAGCTCTCATGCCACAATAAACTACAAACCCCAAGATTCCATAGCACTGAACCATGGCAGTTAAAGTAGTACCAAACTGCATTATTTCTGCAGTGCAGATTAGACATAGTATAGTAGACACTGGATGCAATACACAGAAGAATTATACAAAAGATATGATAAAATGAAGAACACATAGAACGAAGAGCCATATGAAAATGTCTCCCAGATTCTAAAAAGTGAGGTGGAAACTGCAATGAGAGAAATAGCAAAAAACAAATCACCAGGAACAGATGATATTCTAATTGAACTGCTGCAATCCACATTGACAGAGTCAACTCTAGTGCTAACCAATATATGTCAACAGATATGGAAAACAAAACGATGGCCAACAGATTGGAAGGAATTGATATGCATCCCCATCCAAAAAAAGGGAGACACAAGAGACTGCAGCAACTATAGGGCCATAGCACTGATCTCCCACGTAAGCAAAATTATGCTCAATTCTGAAACATGCATGGAGAGAGAAATCCCAGAGGTCCAAGTGGGGTTCAGGAAAGGAAGAAGCACTAGGGATCACATTGCAAACATACTATGGCTAATGGAGTGCACCAGGGAATTCCAAAAGAAAATCAGCATGTGCTTTATAAACTATAGCAAAGTCTTTGACTGCATAGATTGTGAAAGGCTATGGAATGCCCTTAAAGACATGGGAGTGCCAACACATCTGATAGTTCTGATGAGGAATCTGTACTCAGGGCAAGAGGCTGCTGTCAAAACAGAACAGGGAGAAACAGAATGCTTCCCAATGGGCAAAGGGGTCAGACAGGGCTGCATTGTTTCACTCTATCTATTCAACTTGTGTGCGGAACATATTATAAGAAAAGCAGGCTTGGACACAGAAGAAGGAGGAATGAAAATAGGAGGAAAGAATATCAACAATCTAAGATATGCAGATGATACCATAGTACTAGCAGAAAACCTCACAGACCTGGAAAATCTCAATTAAGGAAATTGAAGATTCAATTAAGAAATTGAAATTGAAAAAATCACCAGGCCCAGATGGCTTTACCCCGGAATACTACTTAAAAATGATAAATGAACTAATAGAACCGTTAAGACTAACAATTAATGATATAAATAAAAATGGAATTCCAGGATCATGGAAATACGCAGATGTGGTTCTGCTACCAAAAGAAGGGAAAGATAATTCAAGAGTTGAAAACTTCCGGCCAATTTCATTCATGAATATTGACTATAAGATATTTACTAGTATACTATCTACTCGGTTGAAACATGTGCTAAAATACAACATACATGAGGATCAAGCGGGATTCTTACCCCAAAGACAAATAAGACAAAATGTAAGAACAGTTATTGACATTCTGGAATATTATGAGCGTAATAATGAGAAGAAGTTAGCATTGTTGTTACTAGATGCACAAAAAGCCTTTGATTCTGTAAGATGGGATTCAATGATAATGATTCTGGAGAGATTAAATTTTGGGGATAAATTCATTAACTGGATAAAAAACATATACTCAGAACAAAAGGCAAGATTGGTTATTAATGGTAAAAAGACAAAGGAATTTGATATACAGCGAGGAGTAAGACAGGGTTGTCCCATGTCTCCTTTGCTATTTATAATAATGATAGAACTCTTAAACAATAAGATAAGACTAGATTCTAACATTAAAAGGCCTAAAACCAAGGGATCAGAATTCAAAATAAAGGCATATGCGGACGACCTTATAATTTTTTTGGATGATCCCTTAAATGGAATTGAAAGGACAATGATGAGTCTGGAAGAGTATGGTAAATTTACTGGGTTTAAATTAAATAAGGAGAAATCTGTAATTATTATTAAAAACATGTCAACTACAAAGGAGGAACTGCTAGCACAAAAATCACATTGTAAAATAGTTAAAAAAGCAAAGTACTTAGTCATTAATATATCAAATAGAAATACTGAATTATTCGATTTAAACTATGGGAAAATGTGGAGGGAGATTAAAAAAGAACTGATAAGATGGTCCCGAATGAAGCTTTCTTTATTCTGTAGAATTGCTGCAATAAAAATGCTGGTGCTTCCGAAATTCATGTATTTGTTCACTAATTTACCAATTATATATAATAACAAACCTTTTTCTATGTGGAACAAAGAGTTGATGAGATTTATCTGGGAGGGAAAGAAACCTCGAATCAAATGGAAGACCCTGATAGATACCAAAAACGATGGAGGTTGTAACTTACCTGACGTAGAACTATACTTTCAAGCTTGTGCATTGGTATAGATACAGGACTGGATATTGATCAGGAATAAAAGACTATTAGACCTGGAAGGACATGACTTAAGATTTGGGTGGCACGCGTACCTATGGTACGATAAAAGCAAAGTACACCAAGATTTTGGCCACCACATAATAAGGAGGGCCTTAGTTAAAACATGGGAAAAAGTAAAATTAAAATTCTATTGAGGTTTACCAGGTTGGCTCTCTCCACAAGAGGCGCTATTGAGTAGATTTAGATATATGAAAAACTGGTTGAAATATGGAGAGATACTAACTACTGACAAAAACAAGGGATCTTATGAGTTAAAAACACTTAGCGAAATTCAAGCTAGAGACCCTGGCTTCACCAATAATTATTCCTATCCAATAATTCTTAGCTTTTGTACATGTCCACCAACAGTGGTATAGGGATCCTTCATTTCTACCACATTTCCAACACTCCCCTTTCTCAAAACCTTTAATCTTTGCAGTTTTGTTAGGAGTCATATACCATCTATACAACATTTTATAAAAATTTTCTTTTAAGTCCATACATAATGTAAATTTCAAGTCCTTCCCCTATGCTCTTTCCCATTCTAATAGGTCCTCCACCCCCGATGCGGGAAGTAGTGGTCTGCAGCCCAACCTTGACCAGGAAATGATCTGTCCATGACAATGTGGAGATATTGACTATCTCCGCTCATGGATATGCCTGTTCTGTGTAAAAGACCACATTGAGGGTATGACCTGCACAATGTGTGGGCTCAGAGACTATCTGGGAAAGGCCCATGTTTGTCATGGAGACCATGAACTCCTGAGCTGTGTCAGTTAAGTTTGTTAAACCAGCCTCATGGATGTTGAGGTCACCCAGGATTAACAGCCTGGGTGACTCCAACAGCAGCTCCAAGACCAGTTGTGTCAGCTCAGCTAGGGAGTCTAACGGGGTGGACGGTATACCAACAGAATCCCTAGACTCTCCCTAGTCTTCAGGCTAAGGTAACTAAAGGCCTAAGCAGACTGCCAGAAATAGTGCACATTAAATTGAGGC